TAACTATTTTTTTGAAGCATTTTTTTTTTTTTTTTTTAAATACCCAACCTGCCTACTTCCTGAGCCAGCTCATTCTGTGGTTTAGCTTTCCCGACAATTGATACAGATCTGGTCCCTCCTTCAGCATAACCTTTTTCTTTCCATCTCTTGAATGTGCCTATTAGAAAGAACACATCCCACCCGAGATCACTTGAGCACCATGGCGTCATTACTTGCAATCCCCTTTCTTCTTTGCTGAAAGTATTGTAAATCAGAATCTTATTATCCCAAGCCTCTGTTCTTCGAAAAGGCTTTTCCATAAATAAATAAATAAATAAATAAATAAATAAAGCTTTTCCCTTTAGTCCTCTCGTCTCAAAATCACCTATCTTTTCTTTGATCTGTTTCTAAAGTCTTCGACCGTCTGCGTTCTCTGTGTCTTGTATTACAGTCCTTGCTTGTACAGCTTCCCCACGACCCACCGGTTTCTTCCCCGGAGTCACATTACATCAGCCTCACTAATGCACTATCGGTTACATATCAGATGTTTTATTCTAGGCAGTCCATTAAAAAAATGAGCGTGGACACAGGTTCTATTTAACATGGAGGACAAATTACCTGAGGTTAAGTACAAATTGTTCTGAGATGGGGGGTTGAGGAGACGACAAATATTTATATTCGTATTAAATATCTATGTATCTATATATACCTGTTGATTTTGTGCTTTTTCTCAATGCTTCAGAGACCCTCGTACTTTGGAGTGATTGAGATGGTAGAGGATGGGTTTCCAGAAATTTCGCCCCGAATTAAAAGCTGCATCAAAAACGCTGCTCGGTGCGCTCAAGTAACACCCACCAACAAAAACCATCTCCACAACCACCAGATTATCTCACCAGCGAGCGAGACTGCAAGGTTTGGGGGCTCGGCTGTACCACTCTGTGAGGTGCATGGGGGTGTTCGAGGCCACTTGGCCGGCTTCCTCGCCTTGGTTCTGCCCCTGTCTCCCCTGCTCAGGCTTCCCCAGTGCGTCAGGCCGGCGCTTTATAGACGCAGCCTGGGCGGCTCCACGGGCTGTTTTTCGGCTCCTTCGGGTGAGGTTGGTTTTGCAGTCCGCGAAGATGCAGCTCAAGCCGATGGAGATTAACCCCGAGGTAAGCGTAATTGCTGGGCTGCTGTGGGAGCGCGCAGCGCAGGGCCGGGCCTTAGCTCCGGCCGGATAGCCGAATCGGATCACGTTATTATCTTTTTTCTTTTCTTTTTTCTTTTTTTGCATTTGCTTTTCAGATGCTGAACAAAGTGAGTGGCATGGTGCGCAGTCTCTGTCCTTTTCCTCCACGGGAGCATCGTCGGTGACGCCCAGCCGGCCGCGCCCTGCGCAATGGAGGTGGCGGGGCTGGGGCGCCCTGCTGGATTTAATTCCTGCTCTCAGTTATTTAGAGGATGGGGGTGACTGAGAGACCGATCACAGGGAGGTGGTGGAGGATGCACCGCGACAGGAGCGAGCTCGGGGAACAGCTCCCGAGGGCGTGGCGACTCTAGTCCGTGGGCTTCGCGGGAGCCACGTGTGGGCCGAGCTTTGTGCTGTGTCACTGCGTGGCCTGGAGGGTGGGACGTCGCGGAGGCTCCTCCCAGACTCGGGTGGGGACCTGTGTGTGTGTGGTGGACTGGGGGTGGGCAGAGGGATGCGCGTGCAGACCTCGCCCCCCAGCAGGTGCCCATCACTGGTCTGAATCTTTTGGTCTGGCTGCCCTGTCTCTTCTCTGTAGGTGTTGGCTAAGCTGGGGGTCGCCGGCCAGTGGCGCTTCGCAGATGTGCTAGGACTGGAGGAGGAGATTCTGAGCACAGTGCCAACCCCTGCCTGCGCGCTGCTGCTGCTGTTTCCCCTCACGGCCCAGGTAGGGTGAGGTCCGTGATGGGCGGGTCTCAGATGATGTACAGTGCTAAGGGATATGCCCTCTTAACCCACGATGCCTCCCTCCCTTCCCCTAGGGTAGGGAATAAAGATTCCACCTCCTAGGATGGGTGCCTGCATTTTCATGGTACCTATTCATTGTAATGGCCATTATTTGCTATTTGCCTTAAATTTGGAAGAGAAGGATCAAGTATATTTTTCCGGTTACCCTTTATTTTTCTGAGTTTTTCTTCCACTTGGGAATGGCTGTTGCTTCCTTTTAAGGTCATTGTTTAGTTTTCAGACTCCCACCTAGCTGTAAATTGAAGAGAGCCTGGCTTGAGTCAAAAGGTTATCACCTCCATCTGATTTTTCTGCTGGATTCAGGGCTCTTCTCCCCTATTTCCCCCATAGCAGGCACACTGTTGAACCTGAATTTAAAAGCTGAATCATGGGTGCACAGAATCTTTTCAGCAGCTGTCTCTACCTCTTCTGACCTTGTGGCTGAAGTAGGTCTTTAGCACAGTCATGGAGACACCCTTTCTTTTTCTGACATGGTCTTCCATCTTCCAGTGTTTGGGGATATATGTGAGTCAAAAGTCAGAGCATCAGACATAAAAACAAAACAGTAGGATATGTGTTGTCTTGCAGTGGGTAGAGTCCCCATAAATCATGGCGTCATCTGTCTCCTGTTGCTGTCAGCTGCCGGCAGATTTAAGAATCAATGAAATTGGCATTACCCTAAATGGGATGAGGTTAATTAAATGCCATCCTAAGGGCAGGTGTTCTAGAAGCATTCTTGACCAAAACTAAGCTGTATGGGAAGGTCTAGGCCTTCCTCCTAGCAAATGGTCTATTGTGAGTTCAAACGTAGTTTGGAAGGACTCGGTGACATATTTTATAGTCAAAGCTTTTATTGCAACCATTGCATCTCAGGCTGGCTTCCTTGGCATGCAAAGCCGTGTCCCCTCCACTTGAGTGGTTCCTGGAGCAGTTCTTGATAGGCACCATGATGACTTGGAGGTTTTGAGCAGAGCTCAGGCAAGGCCTCTGGGAGGCAGTGGCGCAGCCTATTTGCTTTCAACTGTTCACTGGTCTCGTTTTGCAGGCTCCAGTGGGTCTTTTTAGAGAACATTCCAGTCTGGCTGGCTGCTGTTTTGTCCTTTAGCTGCAGTCTAGGCGGTCCCATATATTGAGTACCTAGTCTGCATATATAATGGGTAAAACACTTTTTAATGGAAAATGAAACTTAGTTCGACTTCCATCTACAAGCTAATTTAGGAAACATTAACTCTCACTCAGGTTTTGTTGGGGAAACCCTAAATGGGCATAATTCATTTTGTGAAATTGTTACAGAAGTATCTCCATGCAAGAGCCCAAACAACTAAAGGGTGGTGCTAGTCTGTTGTATGTACAATTGTAGTTGTACAATTAGCCGTAAGAGGTGTGAAAACCCTTAACAGTAATACGATGCCAGAATATCCTAAGTGGAGTTTCAGCTCATCATCTTGTGGGACAGACAGTCCTACTCCTCTTCTCGAGCCACAAAGTAAACACACACTCCATTTCCATGTACAGTAAATGAATGGCTGCTAGAATTGGAGCCAGGCTGATTGATGTGCTGGGTGAATTCTGCTGGCCGTGGGCAGTAGGCATTTCCATGGCAGTAGCACCTGCTTTTGATTGACCAGTCCTAACTTCTCAGGTCTTCCAGATTTACTAGTGAGAGGAATAGACAGTCTCCTGAGTCATTGTACAAGACTTGGGCAATGACTTGAGGAAATCCCGTTCATATAGCAGAGTCTCCAGACGATTGGTACTGTCATCCAGTTAGACTGCTGCATTGCTGGCAAGAATAAACCAGTGCCTTGTCTTTCCTCTTACAAGGTGAAAAAGGTTTTTTTGTTTTGTTGAAATCATGGTCCATTCCTTGTATCAATGTCTTTTAAAACAAAACAAATGGGAAAGGAAGCTCTTGCATCTACTTACCCCTTTCAACAGTTAAAGCTTTTTAAAGACATACAAATGGAACAGTTAGAGAATAGAGAAACACATACCAGCTGGTGTTACTGCTGGGTGTTGATTAAAGGTTGAGGACACCTGTATAAAATGCAGTCATTGTTCTTGTCGAAGGGAAAAAATCCTGAGTGGAGCTCTTGCTAGATTTTCTGATGCCCCAACTGCCAGCTAAAGGTTGCTGTGGTGTCTAGACAGCCTTGGGCAGCATCCAAGGCAGTACCTGCACTGCAGCATCAGGGTGGAGCCCCATGGCCTGCTTGGGTGTGGGAGGGAGACGGGCTGTTCTCTGGACATCAGTCAGCATCTAGAACCATGACCCCTGCTCCTGGTCACACATCCAGCTGTGCATCTCTTTAGAACTGGCCAGGCTGCCATATGCATTTGCATTTTGAGATGAAAAGAGAAAAACTATTTTCCCTGATTCACAGCATGAGAACTTCAGGAAAAAGCAAATCGAGGAACTGAAGGGACAAGAAGTTAGTCCCAAGGTGTACTTCATGAAGCAGACCATCGGGAACTCCTGTGGTACCATTGGGCTGATCCACGCGGTGGCCAATAATCAAGACAAGCTGGAATTTGGTACTTGTGGCTTAATAATTTGGTCATCTGCTATTTTTTAAAACTTATTTTTATTGGTATGGCAGTGTGACACAGCATGCTTATTGGGGTTAGGATACATACAGCTTTGTGGGATCCTCTCCTACTTGATATAGGTTTTGGCAGCAGGGGTGGGGGGGGGCGACCAAACTCCAAATCTAGCTGATTCTCAGTCACCTGCTATTTAAACTTGAGACGTGGGGTTCAAAAAGTTCACAGTTTAACAGTTACAGTAAATTTCAGCAATGTATAAACATACACATACATGATGGGACAGAACAGAATCTCACTCTAACTCTGGCTCGCCTGACTGGCCATGAACTCAAGGTGATCCTCTTGCCTCAGCTTCCTGCTGGGGCTTACCGGTGCCTGCCTCCATACCTGTCCTTAAAGTCGTTTGAAGCCTGTTAAGTCAGACTCCTCACCCAGATACAGTCCCATGAATGGAGTTTGCAGTTTCTCTTCTACAGGGAGGAAACTCCTTGTCTAAGTTTGGGCTACCTCCCCTTCCCAGTAAGCATCCTATGTAGTTTTCTCCCCCTTTCTTTTTTTCTCACAGCTTTGTGGGGGCTTAGGTAAGAAAAGGAATACATGAGGGACAGCTAACGTATCGATTCTCATATGCACTTCTTTTAATTCTCAAAATTTTAAGGAATTAAAGGTGACAGCCAGAAAATGTGACCAGTAGGGCCTATCTGTTGTGGTTCTGTGTCTCCTAATTGACAGAGGAACCAGAACAGCTGAGAGCCCCTGACACAGGAAGGCATAGCTGAAACCTTGAGGAACACAGCTGAGAGCAAAGTTGGGTGGAGGGCTTCTTCCCTCCTCCAGTGGAAGCTGAGTGGGATGTAGGGAAAGAGGCCTGAGCCCTTAAGCTTGTGAGAGGAATGAGAGTCAGCCAGAAAATGTTACATCCACATAGCTGATTTAGGCCCAGAAAGTGCCAGAGAGTAAAGCTTTTCGGCTTTGAGAGCTGTGTGGCCTCTGATTTGCAGCTGAAAATTTGCCATAGCTATGCTAGAAGTAGATGGGCATGGCTGGGGTCAATGAAAACTATGAAAAGAAATAATAGTAATTTGCCATCTCTTAACTTTGAATGGCTGCAGATGGCTACAGATTGGATACCCTCAGCACTGCTGCTCCTGCCCATCAAATGTAGAGCCAGCTACTCAGGACACCGAGGCAGGAGGATTACTTGAGCCTATTCAAGGTCGTTGAGTGACCCATGTCCAAAAAATGTGTAGCTCAGTAGTTAGTTGTCTAGCAGGTCAAGGCCCTGGGGTTGATCTCAGGCACATACACACTCACGCACACTCACTCACACGCACACTCACTCACACACATACACACACACATACACACTCACCTATAAAAATATTTTCACTACGATGCTTGGATTAAAAAGTACCCTTTTGTACTTTTTAAATTAAAATGCTGGCTTGTCCATACCTACCTAGGTCAAGAAGTTCTTTTTCAAATATGGATAAGAAAGCTGTATCTTGGTCCTTGTTGTTTCCTCTATGGAGCCTTCCTTTACAACTGGAGTCTGTTCCCAGGATCAGGGTGATACTGGAATGTTAAAACCGTGGTAGAGCCGAGCTCCACAAGTTCATTTGCCTTGGTCCTTCTCATGGAGTTAGACGATCCCCATCAATTTCAGGTTTTGGTTTTCTTTTCTTTTTCTTTTTTCTTTTTTCAGTGATGGGGATTAAGTCCAGAGCTAGGCAAGTACTGCACTATGGAGCCCACCCTCAGGCTCTCCAGATTTTGAAATGATTCCCATTAATCAAATTTGCTAAATCTAGAGCTGACAGTTGGAGCTGAGGTCATTTGGAATGGTTCTTGTTGTAGCTGGGTCTCCTACCTCCTGTACTTACCTCCACTGAGCAGGGGCAGTGCTGATAATAAAGGCGACTGCACTGGGCTCTAAGCCAGAGAGCACAGGGCTTCACATTCCTAAGGCCTTTATGCGAATGGCATTCTATATTCCCTTTGCCACTCTGAAATAAAAATCTGGGCTTTTGGAACTCTTCCTGGGTTTATATATATATATATATATATATATATATATATACACATATATATATGATGCTCTATTTGAATTGAGAAGTGGTTCAGAATCAGCCACAGACATAGTGGGCTCTGCTTTTAAGGGACTAGGATTCTACAAATACATGATTCAGGTATATGGGTGCTGTGAGGAAGTGGTAAGACTTGAGACAGGAGTGAGGCAGGATTGGGATGTCAGGGACCAGGTGAAAGAAAGAACGTGTGCACTGGAAGAGTGGGCCAGCCTGTCTGGCTTGATTGTAGCAACAAGGAATGGTTGAGACGGCTGTGAAAAGAGGCAGCTGTCCACATCCCTGGAGGCCGAGTATAGATTTGAGGTGGTTCATAGGGCTAGCTGTGCACAGGCCGAAGTGGACAATACATCGTCTAATCTATGCCAATATGTACGTTTTCTTTTTAAGAGGATGGATCCGTCCTGAAACAGTTTCTTTCTGAGACGGAGAAGATGTCCCCTGAAGACAGAGCGAAGTGCTTTGAGAAGAATGAGGTAGAACGTGCTCCTGTGGCATCCCCTTTAAATAGCTCTGAGGAAAGGTACCACATGCTTATGGCTTTCTCTCCTCTTCTGCAGGCCATTCAGGCTGCCCATGACTCCGTGGCCCAGGAGGGCCAGTGTCGGGTAAATACCAATGCAAGTACAGACCTGAGCCAGGCTCATCCCACGGCACCCTCTCTGTTCCCTGTGGAATAGTTACAGGAATCATTTACTGCAGTGCAGTGACCAAGTGTTGCCCATCAAGGCCAACTGACCCCAGAAAGTCCTCCTCTTATAACATTCATACTTGATCTGTTCCCCCCAAATAGTTTGTGAAATCTACTTGGCAGGTAGAATAATTCAGTGGTCCATTCTGTGGTTATCTTGTAAGAGCCCGTGGTTCAGCTCTAGCACCCAAAATTAAGTAAGCCATAGTGAGTAAAGAGACCCTCTAAATTCAAATGCAAAATTTAACTTAGAAGCCAGGGCCTGCATTGGCACAATTGTCTCTTCTGGACTTAGGCAAGATACCCTTCCCTAGGCCTGATCTCCTTTCCACTAAAAAGCATATGGTGTAGAGCTGCCCGACCATTCCAGCATTTCTGCCTTAGTAGGTTTAAATGAAATCTGTTCCACTTGGAGAGTAAGTGAATGTTTTCAATAAGTTCATCTGTTACCTTATTAATCTTTTTTTTTTTCTTGACTCTTCAGGTAGATGACAAAGTGAATTTTCATTTTATTCTGTTCAACAATGTGGATGGCCACCTCTATGAACTTGGTATGTATTGATCCATTTTGGAATCCATTAAAATATCCTGTGTTTGTTCAGGCTTAATCTCTCTTACAGACAGCATTGGTATGTGACTTTCTGGCATAATGTATGCAGTGATTTATGAAACCTTAACTGTGTATTCCAACAGCAACATTTAGCCCTCTGTCACACCCAGTTGCCCTCCTTGGGCAACTAAAATACCCAGTGAATGGCTTCAGTGACAAGCCAGTAAGAAAGGTAAATCATATTGGCATCAGCTGTAGGGATTCATGGCACTCCCTCACCCCCACTCACTCAGAGTGTCCCCTAATATCCATTTCCCACAAGGTTCACTGCCTGAATATGAACTTCTATAATATACAGCAAATGCTGTAATGGTAAGAGTGTTTGTTTGAGACAGGGTCTCTTTACATATTCCTGGCTGTCATGTAGCTCATTATGTAAACCAGACTGGCCTGGAATTCACAGAGATCAGTCTGCCTCTGCCTCCCAAATGCTGAACTTAAAGGCATGTACCACCATTCCCAGGTTGTAAAGTGAATTTGGATCTGCTGGGCATCATTTCTATTTATGGAAAATAAAAGGAATATCCACCTTGTAAAATTCCTCCCTTTTGTTTTAGTGGAAAAGGATTGCAGCTGTATCATCTCAGACTTAGACTTCCAAGAGCAAAGGAGACAGGGAAATCAGCAGTCACTAACGGGCAGTCGGAATCCCAGGACACTCTTTCCTATTGGACTGCCTGACGTTGTTTTATCCAAAACATGGGGGTCAGTTCCTCATTAGGATAGCTGGGTCAAGCCAGTGTGGTCTCAACTGTGGACTAGGGTTGTCAGTGGCTGTCCAGGAGTGCTCAAACCTCATTGCATCCTGTTGCTTTCAGATCAGGTTTCCCTCATTGGAATGGTAGTGCCTTTGGAAGAATCTAATAATCCTTGTGGGCTGGGCAGCTGCCATAGTCTGAAAGTGTGTAGGGAAAGCTGAAATGCCTGGCTTCTTTGTTCTAGATGGGCGAATGCCCTTTCCAGTGAACCACGGCGCCAGTTCAGAGGACTCTCTGCTGCAGGTAATCCCTGGAATGCATCTCCCTCCATTGCAGACACGCTTCTTCCAGCTACTTCTGTGCATCCGTTATGTTGGCTAATAGCATTCTTTTAGGGCTTAAAGATCACTTTAGTCATCCTATCTGCCTCCTTTTATAGCAGGTGGTTTTCAACAGGATCCTTCATAGAAGGCATGACTAATCTGTTTCGTGTGCCACCTTCAGTTAGAATTGGCTCAAAAGCCATTGCTTGGCTTTAGTTTGGGATTAAGGTAGCCATTGTTTCATTGTTGGGTTACACCATCACTAAAGAGGGGAATATCAGTTTTCTCTATCTTCCCTAATCCTCCAAGGCTTCGGGGTATGGGTCAGACTTACTGGGTATATATTACAAAATTCTGGCTATGTAAATTATATATTTTCCGACGTGATCTACTGGTATTGGAAAGCAGGGGATTTGAGGTCACTTGGCTAGAGAGGTGGCTCAACCATTAAAAGAGTGTATACTCCTCTTTCAGAGGACCCAAGTTCAATTCCCAGTACCTATCACCCAGGCAGCCCACACATACATATACTCAGAACTAAAGGGGGCTGGAGAGATGGCTTAGAGTATAAGAGATCTGATGCACTTGCAGAGGATCTGATTTTGATTCTTAGCACCATGTGGCGGCTCACATTCATCTGTAACTTCATTTCCAGGGGATCTGATGCCCTTTTGCCTCCACAGGCACCAGGCATGCAAGTGGTACCTGGATACTTATACAGGCATTATACCCAAAAGATTCAGGAGGACAGTGCACCTGTCCTGCTAGAAGTGACTACTGAAAACTCAGTTCTGAACTGTTCTAGGCCTTTTTGACCTAAAAATGAGTCTTTAGATTAGAATTTTAACGCTGTCACAAAGGAATGTCTTAGGATAAAATACAAGACTTTAAATAAAGGGATGGCTTTATTTGTAGTAGCAACAACACTGATCTTCACTCAGCACTTGGCGTGCACACAGTGGGGGTCAGCAAAGGTTTTCTGTGAGGAATCAGATAGGAAGTACCGAGGCTTTGTGTGGTGTGTGGCTCTGTGACAAGTGCCCAGGGCTGCTTCTGCAGCTCTAAGCTCTGCTAGATGGTACCTAAACGAACATGTCTGTATCTGCCAAAGGTTTGTTCACCAAACTGGCAAGAGGCTGGGTTTGGCCTGTAGGTTGCAATTGCTGACTTCCGGGCTGGGTGATTTCCTAAGCGAGTTCTGCCTTCTGTTGAGTCCCTTTAATGATGCAGGAAGTGAGAATCTTTGCCCCCTTCTCCAAGATGACACAGAAATTAATGCCCAAGTTTTCTGGTTCTTGGCCACTGCGTTGAGACCCTTCTTCATAGAGAACCGGGCTTTGGAACATCCAAGATTTGGTCACCTCACAGCACTAGTGAACCAAGTCATACCAAACCAAGCACAAGAACATGGAGTCGTTTGTAATGGGGGAATGTGGGTTAAACAAGCCTGTGGTATAAAGTCCCATCACCTGGGTCTTTTTCCATTGTCTCCTTTAAAGTCGATGACCCTAGTAAACAGTAAACTGCTCGACTAGGCTTGGAAACTGCTTGGAAACACTTTGTCTTTGAAATTCCCCTCTCAGCAGGTTCTATATGTATATTAACACCATTCCTCCTTTCCAGGACGCTGCCAAGGTCTGCAGAGAATTCACTGAGCGTGAACAGGGAGAAGTCCGCTTCTCTGCAGTGGCCCTGTGCAAAGCCCCCTAAGTCCTGGGGGAAAAAACCAGCCGCTTTCCCCCTCCCCTGGGCAGGCCCGCGCAGCCCTGCCCTTGATCTGCAGCTTTAGCACTTATAACCACAGCTGTCGTCTTGTGTTCCACAGCCCCGTCACCTCCACCCTTCCCATGCCACCAGGGAGCTCTGTCACAGCCACGCCAGTGTGAACCTCAGAGGCGAAGCATTTCCCCTGCTGTGTCTCGTACCTTAATATCTATGGCTTTTTTGGTTTATGTCTGTAAGTTAAGGCTTTGGGTGTGGTTTGTCTGTCCTTAGAAGGGATAATAAAACTTTTCTGCTGGTAAAAGAGTATCAGCTGGTTTTTATGTTCTTCCATGCCCCACTCCCAGCCCCTCAGATTGTTTTGACAAGTGATGGACAAATGTCTTCCACCTAATGGCAGGTAAAAAAAGTGCCATATAACAGTATTGAACCCAGAGTTTTTATTTCTTTGCACTTACAGTGCTATACATACCTGTAGAAACTAATTTTTAAAAGTACGGTGTAGGCAGGGTGTGGTGACTCAAGCCTGAATTCCTAGCCCTAGGCTGAAGCAGGAGGATTGCCACAAGTTTTCAGGCTGGCCTGGGCTATGGAGAGACACTTAATCTTAAGAAGATATAGGAATAGGCCATTTTAAGGAAAATTTCAGTAAAGCCCACACAAACTTTTCTGTATCATTGATGTTTTATGTTGGTATCATATTATCCCGGAAACACTGTTAGCTACTACAAAAGGCCCCATAGATTTCCAAGGTCTCCTCACTGACACCCATGTTTATGGGGTCTGGATCAGTTCCGTGCTGGTTTCCCAGCTATCAGTCTGGGGACCAAGAGCTCTCTCTTGTTTAGGTCAGCTGTCTCTGTGGGTTTCACCAGCCTGGTCTGGACCCCTTTGCTCACCACTTCTCTGCAACTGGATTCCAGTTCAGTTCAGTGTTTAGCTGTGGGTGTCTGCTTCTACTTCCACCAACTACATTAACATTGCTAATGCTGTGCTGAGGGTCGAACCCAGGGAGGGCTTCGTTCGTGCTGGACGAGCACCCTGACAACTGCACTGCATCCATAGCCCTTCTTTGGTTTTTAGCTTCTATGATGACAGCACTTTCAGAATTCCTTATTTTGGGGCCAGCAAGGTGGTTTAGCAGGTAAAGGCACTTGCCAAGCCTGACGACTGATTTTAATTTCCAGGACCCACATGGTGGAAGGAGACAACCAACTCCCACAGGTTGTCTTCTGACCTCCACATGTGCGTTGACATGCATGAGCACACACAAACATATAGAGTTTCTTAGTTTTGACCTAAAATGACAACACATTTTCAGGGGATAAGATGATAATTGGTGTATGTATATACTGTGAACGCATCAAATCAGGGCAATCAGCATCTCTCTCTCCTTAAACATTTATTTGTCTTGAAAGCCTTCAAACTGCTTTGTAAAATATGTAAGGCATAAAGTGTAGTCACCCTGCCTGCCTGGAACACTAGACCTTACTCCTCGATGGAACTCCCGAGCTCCCTCTACCTTACCCATTTACCACCTCCTGCCCTCTAGTGGCCACTCTCCTCATTTGTCACTCAAGCTTCCAGCAAGAGCATCATGCAATAGCTGTCGGTTTGTTCTCGGCTTACTTAATTTAGCATAGTGGGATCCATTCCTCCCCAGGTTGCTATAAACAATAGGATTTTATTATTCTTGTGGTCAAATAATATCCCATTGTGTGTACAGAACACATTTACACCTGCTGGCATCTTTTGAGTGTAAGCTACTTCTAGTCCTCAGAACGAAGTGGTCACGTCTGTGAGCCTTTTATTAATGTAAAAACTAAAATACAGCTGTCTCATTTCCTTTCCTGTTGTTGGGATAAAATACCCCGATGGGAACAATTTAAGGGGGAAAGGAGGCATTCTGGGTGATAGTTCAAGGTGCATCACGCTGAGGAATTCAAGACAGCCGGAGCTTGGCATAGCTGGTCACATCACACCCACAGTCAAGAAACAGAGTGTGCCGGGGCCCAGCTGGCTGTCTCTGTTTATGCCACCCAGGACCCCCTTCCCAGGGAATCTCCTGCTCACAGTAGTGTGCCGGGGCCCAGCTGGCTGTCTCTGTTTATGCCACCCAGGACCCCTTTCCCAGGGAATCTCCTGCTCACAGCACTGTCTTCCCAGTCATTTAACTCAACCATGATAGTCCCCCCAGAGGCATGCCCAGAGGGATGCCTCCCAGGTAACTGCCAAGCTGACAATGCTAATCCACAAGGACAAGGACTCAAATAATTCTAGCTGCAGGAGCTGGAGCTAAAGGGATGTGTTTTAAGTTCTTGTTTGAGTTAGGGACAGACCATTGATGCTAAATTGGTTGAAGTTGGCCTTGATGTGGCTTCTGTCTCAGTCACTGAACAAAGAAATTGTCCCCTACCATGTCCTTATTGGACATTGAGAGATCTGGACCAGTGCTGGAATGAAGCTCAAAACCTCGGATTTAATCTTCAATACCAAAATAACAAGTAAACCATATTTTAAAAACTGGTGAAGGAGGACTTGGAGTTTGGAGGACTTGGGTTCTAGAAGCTTCCATCTAGGGCACCAGTTTCTAGTGTCACTGGAGAGTCAGATAAACAGTACTGTCCATGTTGAATTCCATGTGAAGGCAGATCCCTCTGGGATGGTACTACTCAGAGAACTTGGTTTTTCCAACAAGCCCTCTGGTTGGCATCTTGGATTTGTCAAAGATTTATACATCAGTTTATCCCCTTAATGATTTCTCCTTAAAGTGGCACTACTGGTCTTAGGTGATGGCGGGAACTTCATAAGGTTTTAGAGATGACTAAGGCATCTGGTGCTAAAATCTCCCTTTTAAACAACTACCCCTAGTGTCTAACTGGGTCCTTTGAGATTATAGACTCTTCAGATAGTACCTGGGCTGACTTAACACCCATAGACACAGAGAAATGTTCACAAAGGAAACCCATGAGACAGCTGGCTAAAATGTGCACGCGTATGTCCTAAGGCCAGGTGAAGTGTTGGCTCCACTCTGTGTGCTACATATTTGGCGGCATTGTGTGGTCTTGGTACTGTTCCTGTTTTTAAGATGGAAGGTCACCACATGGTGCAGCTCCAGCAGCTTGTCTAAGGTTACTTGCTTGATAAGTGACTTTCCTGAATTCAAACCAAAGCAGACAGAGACACATGATAATGAATTTTCCTGGGTATAACGGGACTAGCAATGCTAAGTTTAAGTTTCATGGCCTTCACACTTACATGGATCCTTCCAACATTGTGGCTTGGATATCCTGGTAAAATTCCTCTCTCTCTCTCTCTCTCTCTCTCTCTCTATATATATATATATATATATATATATATACATATATATATATATATGTGTGTGTGTGTGTGTGTGTGTGTATCTGTATGTATCTTTATTCTTTTTATATTGTCTTTTCTTTTTAAAATAGGATCTCATTATGCAGCCCTTGCTGGCCTAGAACTCTCTATGTAGAACAGGTTGGCCTCAAACCCACAGAGATCCACTTGCCTTTGACCCCCTAAGTGTTGAGATTAAATAATATGTCATTATAACCACTCTTGTATCTTTATTACATATTTTTTGTCATTACTTTTTAGATTTGTGCATTTACCTTTAAGTGTATGAATGTTTTTGCTGCATGCATGTATGTGCACCGCTTGTCTCTGCCTCCCAAGTGCTGGGACTAAAGGCGTGCGACACCACTGCCCAGCTTCTATTCTTTATTCTTCCCTGCTTCTGGCTATTAAAATAATGATGGATTTAATTTGAGATTCTCATTTTCCAAGTTTTCAAGAATGATTACATTATCTTTATAATGAAGTTTTAAGTTCTTCCCCTGGGATTGAAAATCCTCCTCTGAATTCCTGGTTGTTGATTCCAGCATCCTTTCAAGTTTCTTCAATTTACAGCTCAAACCAGTATCACTTATTTAGTCTCATGTTCCGTAAAGGTCATTTGGTGTTTGTGTGGGTGGCTTGCGTGTGTGTGTGTGTGTGTGTGTGTGTGTGTGTTTGTGTGTGTGTGTAGTCCAGAAGACAACTTTGGATGTCTTCAGGTACTGTGCACCTTGTTTCTTGAGCCCTGTCTGTCATTGGGGCTTGGGGTTGTGTACTGAGATATCCACCCCGCCCTCACAGGTGTGTGTGGAGGACTTGATGGGGAGTGGGTTTAGGGCTGGGGTCAGGACAGGTGGCTCTCTCTTGCTTCCTGGTTGGGTCTCGGAGAGCATCCAGGTGGCAGTGTTGGCATCCTTGGAGTGGGAACCCTCAGCAGTCATCTGTTTCTTGTGTAAGTGCACTCTCCCCAAATAAACTTCACTTAACCTGTACTGAGTCTAGTGAATCTTGATTCCCACGCAATAGGGTTGTCTAGGTACAGATACACCTGTAGGTCAGTGTGAGCTTCAGCATCGGTCTCTGGCTTCACAGCACTGGGAGAGCATGTGTGTGCCACCACACTCACCTTTTCCCATGATGCTACCAATCAAACTTATGTGCCATGGCAAACCCTACTGATGGATCCACCTGTCTCGAAGCCCTTGTATTATCTTCCTCTCAACAGGCACTGTTATGAAACTGCTTTAGAGTTTTCTTTTTATCTTCTCTAAAACCTCAGCTTATCTGGACCAGTTTCCTGCCCGCTCTGTCCTGTATAGGTAATGACTCAATGTGTAAATTTGGCTACTTTCTTTTCCTCTTTGAATAGTGTGATCTTTTTTAAATCATTACTTTGTTTGCCTGATTGATTCCCACCTGGGGTTGGCATTCACTGGGAGACAGATGTGGTTTTGTCAGCGTGAACTCCTTGTGTCATCAGATTGCTTGGTGTCACGTGTGGCACTTTGTCTCATTTCTGCAGGATGCTGATGGCAGGGCCTCCCCATAGGAGGACTGTGCAAGAAGAACACAGGTAGGACTTAGTACTTGTGAGCTGTCTCGAGTAATCATCTCAATGGGACTTAAAA